GGGTATTCCTTCCTGGCAAGTGACATCCTCCAAACGCTCCACATCTAAGACTCTGCAGAGCTGAGCATTTGGAATCAAAAACAAAGAAACTAGAAAGACAAAGTGATGAAGCAGCTCCTCATCCTCCCTCCTTCCTCACTCCTGAATTGCAAAGAACTGTGTGGGGATATCTTCCTTCATCCCATAGGCATTTATAGAGGGTTTCCATGTGTTGGGCATTACAATAAAGAATATTAAAATGATAAAAAGGTCCAGAAACTTTTTTTTTAATTTGTTTTACTTTAAAACATTTTGTGGTTGCATGCATGCAACATAGACATGGACTCTCACGATGGGAAACTGATCACCTACAAGAAAAACTACCCAAAATACCTCTTAAGGCTGACTGTGGCCTTGTATTCCCTCCCTAGGCCAGGAAAAAGGGAGGACAAGTACTGTAAGCCAATCTAAGGGCCTGAGAAGTTCAAGGGCTAGAAGAACTTCTCTGGGCCACAGTGGTCTGCAGGAAGCTTTAAGGATCATTTCTCAGATGCTCTGTGAAGTGTTCTGCAGCTTTGTCCTTCAGTCTCTGTAATCCCATCCATTCTTGCTAGCACCCCAGAAAATGTATATTGTCTTAACTCTACTGCCTGACTTTAAATGATTTTCTAGGAGGAGGGATATTTTTAGCTCAATTTCTTCATTTCTTTATTTTTCTTCTAGGCATCACATTTCAAATGGAGAAAAGAATCAATTCAGAACAAGAACTCTGGAGTCCAATTGCCTGAGTTTGAATTCTTTCTCACCTTATGTTAGATATGAGCCCTTCAAAAAGATTTTTTAACCTGTTATGGCTGCTTTCACTACTTAATATTATGGATACTCATCCTGACCTCACAGAGTTATGATGAAGATAAAATGAGATAAGATTGCTAAGACACTTGGATGAAGGCCTGGCATACAGTTAGAAAACAGTAAACAAAAACTATTATAACTGAATATGGGTAAATTTAAATTTAATTCCCAATAGAAAAAAAAAGGCCTGCAATGATTTACAAACATTTAGAAAAATGCATGAGCATGAATACTAATGCCAGGAACAATGCTCAAATTAAGAGCAACTTTGGAAAACAAATTTCATTTCTGTATTATTTAATTTTTATTTATTTGAAAGGCAGAGATACAGAGAGAGAAGGAGGGATGGAGGGAGGGAGAGAGAGGGAAGGAGGGGGGAGGGAGAGAGGGAGGGAGGCAGAGAGGGAGGAAGAGGGGAGAGATATTGATCTTCCATCTGCTAGTTCACTCCCCAAATGGCTACAATATCCAGGAGCTTCTTCCAGGTCTCCCACATGGGTACAGGGGCCCAAGCACTTGGGCCTTCTTCCACTGTTATCCCAGGTGCATAAGCAGGGAGCTCGATCAGAAGTGGCGAGGCCAGGACTCTAACCAGGTGGAGACTTAACTTTCTATGCCACAGTGCTAGACCTGAATCATGTTTGTAGAGTTCCTCCCAAGTCTTTCATGTGGTCTCTGATAATCAAGATAACTACAATGTTCTTCACAAAACCAGAATAGCTTGGAGAGTAAAAAAGACATGCTATTTAATTATGTCTAGATACCAGGTGTAAACCAGAACTTAACCACACAAACTGGGATGGATTCTCCCGAGAGAACCATATGGTCATCTTATCCACAACATCCTTTGGATAATAAGGCAATGAACTTGATTGATTTGTGTCTAGGTAAGGAAAAGTGTTCCAAAGGAGAAGACTCCTTTGTAAGACTCCCTGGAACTCTGTCTTCCCAACCTGCTCTCTTTAACATTGTCAACAATAACCTGGATAACGATATAGACAGCATTTTAATCAAGTTTATAGATGATGTAGACTAGGAAAGAATAGTTAATACAAGAGATGTCAGAATGCAGGTTTTAAGCTGTCTTTAAATTGGAACATTAAAGCAAAATCAAATCAAACTTTAAAGGAGTGAATGCAAAGTCCAACTTTTTAGATTCAAAACAATCAATTACACAAATAGGATGCAGAAGAGGTCTGAAAGCCTTCATATGAATTTAAAAAAACATGCCTAGGGTGTTTAGTTGACCAGAAGCCTAAAATGAACATTTAAAATGCTGTTGTATTAGAAAATGCATCAGTTTTGTTTGTGCTGGAGAGCTATAATAGAACCAACAGACAGATGGATGGAAGGGGCGGGGGGAGTCAGCCAACAGATTTATATTCCATAGTGAAACAAGCTGATTCATGAGGAAGTAAAGAAATGCAAGACAAGACCACTGTTAAAGTGGTTAGAGAAAGGATTCTTTAATTTTTTTTAAGATTTATTCATTTCTTTGAAAGGCAGAGTTACAAAGAGAGAGACAGAGAGAAAGAAATCTTCGATCTGCTGGTTCACTCCCCAAATGGCTACAACTGCTGGAGCTGGGCCAATTCAAAGCCAGAAGCCAGGAGCATCTTCCAGGTCTCCCGGTAACATGGGCCCAGGCACCTGAGCCATCTTCCACTGCTTTCCCAGTCACCTTAGCAGGGGCTGGATCAGATGTGGAGCAGCCAGGACTCCAGCTGGTGCCCATATGGAATGCCAATGCCACAGGTGGTAGCTTTACCCCTTTTGCCACAGCACTGATCCCACAGACAGGATTCTTGAGTTGAGGAGACTGGACTAGGGCCAATTCCAGTGAATTTCCACATCTCATTCATATTACATCTTACTGCCAAGAACACACAAAACACACAGATCTACTAAGACTGGCTAAATTTTAGGAGCTCATGAGAACAAAGTTCAGTATGTTGCTTCCCTGTATTAAGTATGCATTCTTCTCCAGGTAGTTCATCATATCCTCTCCTATGTTCCAGAAAACTATGAACCCTCCCCTTGTAGTATCACATGTCACACTGAATGGCAAACACTCATTCCCATTTTTTTTCTAAGACTTAATTATTTATTTGAAAGTCAGAGTTACAAAGAGAGAGGGAGAGAGCGGGGCAGAGAGAGATCTTCCACCCACTACTTCACTCCCCCAGATGACTACAACAGCCAGGACTGGGCCAGGCCAAAACCAGGAGATTCTTAGAAGTCTCCCACATGGGTAGCAGGGGCCCAAGGACTTGGGGCATCTTCCACTGCTTTCCCAGGCCTTTAGCAGGGAGCTATATCAGAAATGGAGCAGCCAAGACACAAACCCTTATGGGACACTGGAATTGCAGACGGAGGCTTCACCCACTAGACCACAGTGCCAGCCCCCATTCTGTCTTCTACCACCAAACCATGATCTCTCTGCAAGGCAGAGCCTGGCTTTTATGCATGCTTAACTGTTTGAGGAATAGTTAGAAAAACAAATTAATGAGTTTAGGAACATAAATCTATACTCTTAGATCTTTCTTAGGAAATATTTCTTCCACTACTTTTAGAAAAAGCCCTTTACAGAAAAATAGAAATATTAGAAGGGACTTAGGCAATGTTCTGCTTAAATGTCTTCCAAACCTGATATAATTCAATCTAAATGTTCTTCTCAGTGGAATCAAAAGTTCAATTCTCTTACAAATTACAAACCAATGCAACTATTTCCCCTCTATATAGAATCTCTTACCAAGTGAAACATAGGAAAGTTAATGTTTTTGTTGTATTGCTTTTTTAGAATTTAAAGCAATGATGATCAAATACACACTTCCCTTAGAATATCAGGAAAGGGTCACACATGCACTTCCCCAGTGAATTAGTTATTGTAGTTGTAAAAAACCAGACCCTCTGCAGCCTACAGTAACACTGATTTAAGGCCTAATTCTCAAGGCACACAATATAAATCCTTCCAGCCAAATGTCTACTGATCTGGAACTAGAATCCACAAGACAATCATCTTCAAAGAATCTTATAGTGCAACTAATGTAATGCAATAAATTAAAAGATCAGTTTTCTTTCCCCCTTCTTCTGCCACAATGGCAATAAAAAAAAGACAACTATAGAAAGACATGAACCAAGAACTTTGCAAAATGGAGCAGGAATAGTAATATACACATTTATTAAATCCAGCTAATTTGGATATCTGACTTTCATTTGTTTCTTCTCCAGTTGTTTTTCAAGAGTATTATAAAATTATGCAAGTTGCTAAGACACTCATATCTGTGGTCCTATCATGTATGAAACTATATTGATATTCAATAATATCCATGATCATATCATAATTTTTTGAGTTGCCTTACCATTAAACCACTGTTTAACTTTTCCACACACTTTACAGAAAAATGACTGATGTGATTCTAGTCCTTCAATTTTAACTGAGCATCAGTGCAGTCCTTTTTCTATCTGGTTTTCTTGTTTGCTTTCTTTCTTAATTTTTTGAAACTGTGGCCAAGAAGAAAGGCAAGTGCTTTAATCCCTCACTTATCTTTAAATAAAATGTTCTGTGATCTAAGGCAAACAATAAGTCATAAAGTAGACACAGTGATTCAGGCAGTAATCTATGGGCACATACATCATCCTGCAATGGTACATTAATCATCACCCTTAAAGACAGGGCAAGAGGAATGACGTTTTTTCAATTGCGTCTGTTGCAACTCAGTGACAGTCAAGAATTTTTAATCCAGACCATTTCTGCAAACAGAAATGACTGCTTTTTCATCTAGAAATATTTCCCAGCCACACCCCTGAACAGTATGAAAGCAATACCAGAAAAGTAAAACCGTTTCTGAATGCAAAAAGGTTATTTTAAATAGTTAAGAAGCCCACAGGATTGTCCCCCTTTCCAAAAAGATTCAATCCTAAAACTAAAAACACTCTATGACAAAATCCAAGGTCTTCCTCCTGCAAGCATATGATCTTGACGAAATCAGTTAACCTTCCTGCCTCAACCTACTCAGCTGCCAAAAAATTTGAAAAACTGTGCTAAACCTGTGGTATGATAGTAAGGATAACTCATCATCGAGGCAAAATCTTGCATAATCTGCATGGCACATTTTAGGCACTCAAAATATAGTCCCAAATGTTGTTGCTTCAAAAATTTTCACCTTGGGCATCCTTTGTGTTCTTACACTGATAGCAGTCGCTGGGTCAGCACTGGGCACTGTTTACAAGGCTAGCAGAAAGTGAAGAAGACCATCGTATCTGGATGTTCTGGATCCGTGTCATGTCCACGTCTAGAAGAAGAAAAATCAAAGTGCACACAGTAAAAATGAAGACATGTAAACAGAAAGTGAAAGAGGTAAGCAACAGACCACTGTTGAAGAATGCTCTAGATAAACACTGCCCAAGAGATGATCAAACAACTCCCTCCTTTGAGTTCCACAGTTCACAGTCACCTCAGAACATGAAAGAACCATTGTTAAACACATGGACATTTTGGCTCAACAATTAAAACTAAATTTCCTCCTCAAGTAAGATGAGTCTTCCTATATAAATCGAAAGGGGGTTTAAAAAGGGTGGAGTCTGCTTCCCCAAGTCAACAATGATGGCTGACAAACAAGGGAAGGAAAGATGCCCTGCATTGATCAACCCTGAATACCCTCCCTGTTGTTAACAACAGTCACTAATGTTTTTTGAGGGCTGACTGTGTCCCAATTACTGTTATAGCTCAGCAATGCAACCAGATGGATGTTGGTACCCTCTTTTTACAAAAAAGGAAAATGGGGCTCAGCTCCTAAGTAGAAGAGTCACATTTAGACTCGGTCTGTGAAACTGCAGAGACAGGATCTTGATTATTATCATCAGCCAGCAGCCTGTTATTATTCCACAAGCCAATGTGCTCATAGATTCTACTACATACTTTAATTTCTGTACTTTTAAATAGGCACTGCCTCTGACCAAAGGTGTTTAAACTGGAACCAGGACTCCAGGAAAGCAATAGGTAACACAGAGAATCTTTGAGTTCCCTGAAACAGAAAGTAAAATGCAGGAGTATGTTGGTAGGTGCATTTTTCTATGTCTGTGAAGAGGAAGATTTATTGTGACAGCAATTCTTAAAGGAGTTTAGAGCCCAAGAAACATGTTAAGGACCAATGCATTAGATCATGCATTCAAGAACAAAGGACGCTTATTCTCTATCACCCTGTCATGAGAATGTCTCTCTGGAAATTAGTAAGGCTAGATAAATATGAAGTATGAGTGGAACAAAACTAATCTATTACCATGATCTTTCTATCCCTGGATTTAAAAGTACAGGTGAGGATGAGCAAACAAAAGGGTGGGGTAGAGGGGTTACGGTAAAAATAAATAAAGAGCTTTTCCAAGAGATGTTCTTCCAGGAAAGTCAATTCTGCTGGCTGTTTCTCAAGTATTGCTGTATTCTTACAAAACAAGAGTCCAGCCTAATAATTTTTTTAAAAGATTTATTTTATTTATTTGAAAGACAGAGTTACAGAGAGAAGTAGAGAGAGAGAGAGGTCTTCCATCCACTGGTTCACTCCCCAGAAGGCCACAATGGCCGGAACTGCACCAATCTGAAGCCAGGAGCTTCTTCCTGGTCTCCCTCGCAGGTGCAGGGGCCCAAGGACTTGGGCCATCTTCTACTGCCTTCCTAGGCCACAGCAGAGAGCTGGATCAGAAGAGCAGCAGCCGGGATTAGAACCAGCACCCATGTGAGATGCTGGCGCTTCAGGCCAGGGCTTTAACCCGCTGAGCCACAGCACTGGCCCCTAGCCTAATAATTAAGACACTCATCTCCCATATCAGAGTACCCATGTTGGATTCCCAACTCTAGCCCATGACTAACTCCAGGTTCCTGATAATACAGACCCAGGGAGAAAGATATAATGGCCCAAGCAATTGGGTTCCTGCTACCCTTGTGGGAGACCTGCATTGCTTTCCCAGCTCCTGGCTTCAGCCACAATTCAACCCCAGTCCTGGCCAGCCTGGCCCAGTCTCAGCCATTGTAGGCATTTGGAAAATGAATCAGCAGGTGGGATCTCTCTCTTTCAAATAAATAAACTTTAAAACATTGTTAATATTCTAACCAATAAAAGAAAGCAATTTCACTTGTTCATTTCAATGCCTATCATTCCCATTGATAGGAAGAACTACAAGGATACTTTCAAAAAGTTCACGGAAAATGGAGTTAAAGTATATTTTGGTGCAAAAAATAATTTTTTAAAATCTATGCACAGGTTTTTCATAATATGTCTTTTCCATGAACTTTTTGCAGACCCATCATACAAAGACAAGAGTGTTCTCTGGTGTTACACCCACATCTTGAATCCTGTCTATCAGCACAGAGCTCAAAGGGCCCAGCTCACAAGAGCTGGGAGACAGAGATGCTGGTCTATCAAATGCATCTATGCAGGGTTTCTACTGATGACATGAGTAGGGCAGTGGAGGACTGTGGCTAATGATGGCACCAGTTCTTTTAAAAAAGGATTTTATTTACTTAAAAGAGAGAAATTTATTGAAAGAGACAGAGAAAAAATAGATCTTCCATCCACTGATTCACTCCTCAAATGGCTGCAATAGCCAGATCCGAAGCCAGGAGCCAAGAGTTTCTTCCAGGTTTCCCACACTGGTGCAGGGGCCCAAGCACTTGGGCCATCTTCCACTGCTTTCTCCAGTCACAGGAGAGAGATGAATTGGAGTAGGAGCAGCCAAGACATGAGCCGGCACCCGTATGGGATGCCAACAGCGCAGGCGGAATTTAGCCTACTATGCCACAATGCTGTCCACCCCATCCTCCACCAGAAATCCTCTTTAAAAATCTACTCTTAGGACAGGCCTTTGGTGCAGTTAGGATACCTCTTGGGATGCCCACAAGGGCATAGGAGAACATACTTCAAGTCCTAGCTCTTCCACTCCCATTTCTGCTAATTCACACTCTGGCGTGAAGCAAATGATAGTTTATATAGGTCATTCTGAATCCCACTTGGGCGATACAGACTGAGTTCTGAGCTCCTGGCTTTGACTTGGCCCAGCCCTGGTTGTTGTGGGCACTTCAGGAGTGAACCCCCAGATAAAATCAATTGCTCTCTCCCTCTCCCTCTCCCTCTCCCTCTCCCTCTCCCTCTCCCTCTCCCTCTCCCTCTTCCTCTTTCTTTCCTCTCCTCCCCCTCTCCCTTCTCTCTCTCTGCCAAATAAAATGAAAATAAATATATTAAAAGCCTAGTCTCTTCTCAGTAGAAATCAATTACCCAATTGCTCAACTAGTTTCCTGAGATGTCCGAGTAGAGGCAAATTGTCGACATCTTTTTTCTCTCTGGACTTTTTGCGGTGTAGATGTAACACTTTTCTACATTTTCTACATTTTTCTTGCTGTTACTTTTTAACTTGCAGTTTCCCTTTGGTGAAAAGCCTTTTTGTATCCACATACAGTAGCAGCCACACATAAAGACCCACACACACTGGGAAGTGTGTGACTAGGGAGGATGCTCCCTTGGCAGTTTAAACAGCTTATCTAATCCAGCCTCCTCACAATACCTTGCCTCTCACTTGCTTTAGCACATTTGCCTCTGTAGAAGAATTATTTTCCTTTAAAGGAATCAGGAGTTTTCTCTGGAGGCATTTTAGTCAATTGCGTATTTTTTTCTCCTTATAATAAAAGGAAAAGTAAAAACTAGACATAACCATTTTAGTTCTTATTTGGGATGAGGGATTTTTTTTTCCCATTGAAAAAATAAGATAAAATGATTTGGCCTTTCCAATCTTACACGAACCCTGAGGTCCTGAGTTCAACCTTTCTCCAAAAAGAAAAATGTCAGAACTGAAATGTACGCAATTTCACCTAATTTCCTGTGCCTCACTCTTCAAGAAGATGGATTAAGATGGCTCACCACAGGAAATGGGCACAACTGACTTGAGAAAATAAGCAATATAAGTCTGTGGTTTAAGTAACTACACCATTCTAGGCAGGCTATAGGCCTCTCTGTGCAATTCACGTTTTATAGCTTACCAACGCCAATTGTGTAATTATACAGAGCACTCTTTCTATTGGCAAGATCCATCGATCCTTAAGTGTACACTTTCCAGCATCCAATAAACTAGGACGATGAGGGAGCAAGGCTTTCTGCTGCTGGAACAGTGAAGGGCTAATTAGTTGCATTTGCAGATTAATGACTTTCAACTAGAAAGGGCGAATGCAAAGGGATAAGCCACAACCACAGTGACAGAATGCAAATAAAAGTATTTATAAGGGCAGGAGGAGGGGGGTTGGCCAGGAAGGGCCATCGATCGCTTTTACCCTCTGCACTGGGACACATTCCAGTGAGGGCGGGCCTCCTGGCAGCCTGACAGCCTTCCCCCAAGCTAAGACACAAACAGAATCTGTGGATAGACACAAGCAAGGCCAGCAGGAGAAACAGAGAAAGAAATTCTCAACAGAAAGAGCAACAGGGATCAAGAAACCTCTCTTCTCACCTCAGCCAGTCCTTGTCTTTTGGCAGAGCAGCCTTAAATTTCAGTTCAAACTTGTGTCCTGCCTTTCACCCTCATCTCTAGAAAGATTGACTTGATAGCTTGCTAGGAAACTTCCCAACCAGTACACAAAATCCTATGTTTAAATTCTCTGTTTATGTTCATTTCCCGAAAGAGCACTATGCATCTGAGCTTGTCTAAATATTATTTTTAACCTTAGCTCCCAAATAAGTGCAAGAGTACAATGTCATTTCTTTGAGTTAACTAATGTGAGTGAAAAGATCTTTCCACCATTCATAAAATGAGAAGGAAGCAGGAGGGTGAGGCACACAACCAGCTAGAGATCACTAGTTACAGACTTTGGGATTTCACTAACAAAAATATCTCAAGGGGCAGGCATTTGGCACAGCAGTTAAGATTCCATTTGGGACATCCCACATTCTATATGGGAATGCCTGGGATCCAGTCCTGACTCTGTTCCCAAGTCTAGCTTCCTGCTAATACTCACCTTGAAAGACACAGCCGCAGATGATGGCTCTAGTACTTGGATCCCTGCCACCCATATGGGAGACCTAAACTGAGTTCTCAGCGCCCAGCCCAGCCCCCACTGTTGTAGTTGTGGGCATCTGGGAAATGAACCAGCAGATGGGAGATTGCTTTCTCTCCTTCTCTTTCCCTCTACTTTTTTTCTTTTTCTTTTTTTTTTTTTTTCTTTTGGAGGACAGGCAGAGTAGACAGTGAGAGAGAGAGAGACAGAGAGAAAGGTCATCCTTTTCCGTTGGTTCACCTCTCAATGGCCACTGTGGCC